GGACTCAAATCAATGCTTTGGAGGAGAAGGAAGAAATAAACATTCCACCAGAACAGAATGAAGAAACAAGAATTCAAAAAAAGAGGAGAGGCTGAGGAACCACCAGGACAACTTTAAACATTCCAACATCCCAATCATAGGGGTGCCAGAGGGAGAAGAGGAAGAGAAAGAAACTGAAGACTTATTTTGAACAAATAATGAAGGAGAACTTCCCCAATCTGGCAAAGAAAATAGACTTCCAGGAAGTCCAGGAAGCTTAGAGAGTACCAAAGAAGTTGGACTCAAGGAGGAACACACCAAGGCACATCATAATTACATTACCCAAGATTAAAGAGGAGAGAATCTTAAAAGCAGTAAGAGGAAAGGAGACAGTTACCTACAAAGGAGTTCCCATAAGGCTATCAGCTGATTTTTTCAAAAGAAACTTTGCAGGCAAGAAGAGGCTGGAAAGAAGTATTTCAAGTCATGAAAGGCAAGGACCTACATCCAAGATTACTCTATCCAGCAAAGCTATCATTTAGAATGAAAGGGCAGATAAAGTGCTTCCCAGACAAGGTCAAGTTAAAGGAGTTCATCATCACCAAGCCCTTATTATATGAAACGTTAAAGGGGCTTATCTAAGAAAAAGAGGAAGATCAAAAATACAAACAGTAAAACGACAACAAACTCACAACTATCACCAACCAAAACCGAACCTAAAAAAAAAAAGAACAAAAACAAAAATGAACTAAGCAAACAACTAGAACAGGAACAGAATCACAGAAATGGAGATCACATGGAGGGTTATCAGCAGGGAGGAGGTGGGGGAAGAATGGAGGAAAAGGTACAGGGAATAAGAAGCATAAATAGTAGGTACAAAATTGACAGGGGGAGGTTAAGAACAGAACGGGATATGAAGAAGCCAAAGAACTGATATGTACAACCCATGGATATGAACTAAGGTGAGGGAATGATGGTGGGAGGGGGGTACAAGGCAGAGGGGAATAAAGAGGAGAAAAAAATGGGACAACTCTAATAGCATAATCAATAAAATATATTAAAAATAAAAGTTAAAGGTCTCTTTCCCGAAGTTAACGTACACTCGGAGTGAAACCAAGAGAAATCTAATTTAGGTGTTCCCAGACATCCTTGTGGGAAATTACCCAGAGGAGCAGGTAAACTAACACACACCTTGCTGACTGCATTTTGAAGGCCTGGAAAGTGTACTCCCTCTTCATTTTCTTTTTGCTAAGCCACAGCCTTTTCCTGTTTGGCACAAATTTCATTAAATAAATAAATAAACATACAAATAAATAAATAAAACAAGTCCTTCTTTTTTGTTTGTTTTTCCCGAAGAGAATATGGAATTGGCCCGTCAGTTATTCCACTAAGGATTAGTGAGGACATTTCAAGCACCACTAATTAAGGAAGTGTTTCCTGGAATTAGCATATTACGTTTAACAACATTAGAAGGAGCTAAATATAAAATGTCACACGCAGAAGTAAACAGAATTATTCAGAAATAGAGCAGGGGGAGTTGTGAGCAAGAGTTAATTAGGACTGAAGGAAATGGGTGTTAAGTTGTCTTCTCCATGGTATTCTTGTTTAAAACTTCTCAGGTGGAAGAAAACGAAGTCTTCCATATTCACAACGACTCTGTGAGCAAAAATTTGCTCTGCCCCAGTCTGGAACAAGGCACTGTCCACTTAGAATGGCCTGTGACAATGCAAATGTCCTGTGATAAGGGAAATGCTCTATATCTGTGCTGCCCCAATAAGGTGGCCACCAGCCACACCTGGTTTTTTACATTTAAATGAACTGAAAGGCAATAAAATGAACAATTCCATTCATCAGTCACGGTAGCCATACTCTAAGTGTTTAACAGCAGCAGGAGGCTAGTGGCCGCCTTACCGAACAGCGCAGCTGAACAGACTAGGAAAGATGTGTCCGAGCAAACGCGCACTCAAAGTCTGCCAAGGAAGAGCAGAAGTGGAAAGTGTTTCCCACAAACCCTGTATGGAGCCTAAGAAAAAAGTCCACTTTCAATCATCTGGAGGATTCTTTTCCTCTTTCCATCAAGTTTCAGCCAGTAAGTGAGACAAACGCACAGGGGTTTTCATTCCAACGCCTTGAATAGACTCTCAAGTCTCCCCGGGCGCGTTCCCTGGATGGGCTTTCACATGGCCTCTCTGCAGAAAGCCCGCTTTCCAAGCACCCAGGGTGTGTTTCACCTGTGCATTCTGCCTCTGGCCCTCGCAGTACATATTTGTGGTGGAAATTCCCCCCCACAGAGAGCTCGTCTGTACCTGTGCGGCCGCCCTTCCCCAGGCCGGCCCATGAAGCAGGTTTCTCTACGTGGTTTTGTCTGTTTCTGCTGCCCAAACCAGGCATTAAGATTTCCAAGCCGGGAAAAAAGATGAAAATAGACCAAGTCCTCGACTGTGCAGGGAAACCTCTGGAACGCCCCTACTTCCCCCAGAGAGCTGACAGAAAGCAGGAATTCAAGTGACCCCTTGTCAGAATTGGAAGGCTGATCACCGATTCTTGCCTGGTTTCCAGTCGGTGGGAGTCACGCTGCACACACAGGTGATGGGGTTTGTTCATAAACGAATCCACACTGAGTACATTCATATACAATGTAACTTGAGGGGTTTGGTGTGAGAGAGGAGGTGACTCCAGCCTCAGTTTCATTCTCAAGGGCTTCACTCCTATAGTGTTCTTAATTCAATATTTTACTTATTTATTTTTAGAGAGAGGGGAAGGGAAGGAGAAAGAGAAAAACACTGATGTGTGCTTATCTTTTGCACATCCCCCACTGGGAACCTGGCCCACAACCCAGGCATGAGCCCTGACCAGGAATCAAACCGGTGACCCTTTGTTTTGCAGGCCAGCACTCAATGCACTGGGCTACACCAGCCAGGGCCCTATAACGTTCTTATAAGCTTAAAATTACAGTGAGACCAGGAGCTATTCAAAGCATCTCTACGTGCCCCTGAAGACATGTACCAGGGTGAACTCTTGGATGTGATTTGCCTTATTTTCCTGGGGTCCACTCTATTCTGGATAGTTGGGAAATAACCTAGAAGTTCAATCTCCTCAAGGAATCTTAAGCAAAACAGCCTGGGGCCACCCAGGGCTTGGGCCTGCCTGGAGGAGCTGACGTTTGCTGATTTCCACGAGCTCATGGACATGACCCACCTCTGGACCATCCTCAACCAGAGAACTGACGCTGGCAAGTGAGCCGTGTTTGGAGCTGGCACCTGTGGGGCCCACCTGTCCGTAAGTGCATCACGTTTCTGAAAACCGTTCAGTGCATTTTGTTACCTTCAGGGAGGGCGCTGTTCATAAACGCATCTGCATAGGACCTTTAATCTGATCACCAGGGTGATTCACTCCCAACCTGGTTGTTCATTATCAGGCACACAGGTACCAACGAGGGACCGGAAAAGCATTTGCTCCATGACCTTCATACTTACTTAGCCAGTTCCAAGCACATTCTCAAGTCTAACCCTTTATTCCTAAGGTTCAGCCCCAGCTAGGAGGTGATGGGGAGAAATAAGAAAAAAAGGAGACATGTCTGGGCCCACATTACGCTTAGACTGATCTCCAGTATCAGGCTCAAGAGTCAGTTCCCAAATCCACCCATCCTCACATTTTACCTCCAAAAAAGGTAACACGACATTCTGCTTGAAACATATGTGGAAAGTAGCAGCATTTGGGAAGAAGGGAAAAAAAGCAAAGGTGGCCAAAATGTCCACAGAAGAGTTCGGACCTCGTGCAGCCAGGTCTTTCTTAGGACAGTAAGCCCCAGCTCGGAGCAGACGTGGGTTAACCATGGCCCATCACCTACTTTGCCTTGCCTGCCTTTGTAAATAAAGTTTTATTGGAAAACAGCTATGCCCATTGGTATCCCTATTGCCTGCAGCTGCTTGCCAGAAACAAGGGGCAGAGTGCAGATGTTGCTATAAAGGCCACGTGCCCCCCCAAAAAACAGCTGAAAATATTTACTGTGTGCACCTGTACAGAAAACATTTGCTGACCCTTGGTTTGGAGTTTCAGATTTTGCTGAGAACAGTCATTATCGGCGTTCCCTGAAGCAATTGTTTTTTCTGATAAGAATATAAATGGAGGGAAGTTGAACTGTGTCTGAATGTCTGTTACAAAGAATGAGAGTCTGCCTCAGTCTCCAAGGTGGCTCTCAGCCTCATTACCCTGTTGCCCTGAGTTCTGAGAATTTTGTTGTTGTTATTAACATTTGGTAAACTTATCTTTAGGAACTTGGAAGGTGGTTGGAAACATCCCCGAGGTTTAATTTCAAAATATGTTTAAATCTAGAGCCTGGGTTCTCCAAGTGGGTAGCTAAAATAACAAAGTATTTGCCTAAAGCTTTTCAATGGGGTGTTGCTGATGGGCACTTTGTAGTACAGGCCACGGGAGCAAACTCGAAAAACAGGCATAATTGCTTTTCCAAGTTTTCACCATAAATCATCATTTTTTAAAAGGTTCCAGTAATTCGCCCACTAAGGAAAAAAAAAAAAAAAAGAAAAGGGGGGGGATAAAATGGGACAATGACACAGTGGTTTTGCTCTGAAATAACCATGTGCGATGTCAGACTGCCATCTACAGTATTTCAATGTCTCCATCCAAACACGGACGTCTAAATGAGCACCGTAGATGCGGGCCATTCTATGCAAGGAGGCAAGTTTGGGCAGCAGGACAGTAGGAGAATCTCTTCGGTCACATGCTTCTTCCCTCCCCACCCGACACAGCGCTGTTTTACTTTTGCTCCCTCTCCCGGTCATGCATGTGCACGCAGTGACATGAAAGAGTAAACCGAAGCGTGGTGGCGGCTAGAAGCGCCCTGGAGCTGTTCCGAGGCGCTGTAAGTCGCCGCCTCTCACACTCGGGCAAAGCCAGGCCCTCACTGTGGCCAAGGAACGCGCTGCCGCTGTGCACTACCCAGGAACGCCCACTTTTCCCAAGAACTTCGGTAAATTTGGAGGTTAAAGAATCCAAGGGCAGTGTTCGTTCAGCAGCACATATACTAACGTTAGAACAATACAGATAAGATTAACAAGAGCCCCATTCAAAGATGAGGCACAAATTCCTGAAGTGTTCCATATTTTGAAAAAAGGAAAGAAAAGGATCTAATGGGATATATTAGTTTGCTACAGCTGCTGTAACAAAGTACCACAGACTACGTAGCTTAAACCACAGAAAAGCATTGTCTCACTCTCTGACAGGTGGAAGTTCAAGATCGAGGTGTTGTCAACAGGGTCATTTCTTTGGAGGGCCTTCTCCTTGGCTTGTAAGAGGCCTATCTTCTCACCGTGTCCACACGGGGTCTTTTTTCTGTATCTGTCTGTGCCCTGGTGTCTCTTCATAAGGACACCAGTCAGTAGATGAGGGCCCCCCTGCCAATGAACTCATTTAATCTTAATCACCTTTTTTAAAGCCCAATCTCCAGATATGGTTACATTCTGAGGCACTTGGGGTTAGGACTTAAATGTGTGAATGGGGGAGAGCATTCATGTAGTGTTCGTTCAGTGTTATTCCCACTCAGTGTTATTCAGTTCATAACAGGAGCTAAGAAATTAAATAAAGTACTTTATTTTAAAGTCTGGACCTGAGGACTTCCGCCAAGATGGAGACGTAGGTGGAGGAACCACCTTGCCTCTGTGCACAACCAAATCTAAGAACAACTATTTTTCACAACAATCACAACCAAGCCACACGGAAAATTGAAAATACAGAGTCCAAAGACAACTAAATACTCAGCTAAACCGGTAAGAGAAGCGAAACCAGCAGCGGAGCAGGTTGGCAAGAAAAAATCCCCGAACAGGTGGTGCACGGCGCTAATTGCGGGCTGGCTACCAGAGCACACAGGGAAGAGGCGGGGGGGGGGGCGGAGGCTGTCTTGGTGGGTCCCGCGCAGCTGCGTGCGGAGAAACCAGTGAGAAGGGAAGCCTGCGCGGGGCAGCAGCCTCGCACAATTCCGATCGGATAAACAAGCCCAGGGCGAGTAGTGTGACTGGACGGGCTGGGCTAGCGGAGAGGACCGCCATTGCTCCCTCTCTGACCCCGCCCCCACATATAGCGTCACAAACCAGCGACCTGGGTCGCCCCGTCCTGGTAAACAACTAAGGCTTCGCTCCGATTACTTAACGGCACGAATAGACCAAAAATGGCTCTAGGACAACTCAGAGCCCCAGAACCCATAGATCTAAGCGATGAAGAAATAGCCAGTCTTTCAGATGCACAGTTCAAAACACTGGTTATCAGGATCCTTACAGAACTGGTTGATTTTAGTCACAAATTAGAGAAACATATGGAAGCTAAACTAATTGAAATGAATGGTAATACAAAGGAAACCAATAGTAATGGAAAGAAAATTGGGACTCAAATCAAGGGAGTGGACCACAAGGAAGGAAAAAATGATCAAACAGAAAAGAATGAAGAAATAAGAATTCAGAAAAATGAGGAGAAGCTTAGGAACCTCCAGGACATCTTTAAACGCTCCAACATCCGAATTATAGGGGTACCAGAAGGGGGAAAGGAACAGCCACCAGTGGAAAACTTATTTGAACAAATAATAAAGGAAAATTTCCCCAATCTGGCAAAGGAAATAGACTTCCAGGAAATCCAGGAAGCTCAGAGAGTCCCAAAGAAGTTGGACCCAAGAAGGAACACACCAAGGCACATCATCATTACATTAGCCAAGATTAAAATGAAGGAGAGAATCCTAGAAGCAGCAAGAGCTAAGGGAACAGTCACCTACAAAGGAGTTCCCATCAGACTGTCAGCTGATTTCTCAAAAGAGACCTTACAGGCAAGAAGGGGCTGGAAAGAGGTATTCCAAGTCATGAAAACCAAAGACCTACAACCAAGATTGCTCTACCCAGCAAAGTTTTCATTTAGAATGGAAGGACAGATAAAGTGCTTCTCGGATAAGACCAAATTCAAGGAGTTCATCAGCACCAAGCCCTTATTATATGAAATGTTAAAGGGACTTACCTAAGAAAAAGAAGATAAAAAAAGATGAACAGTGAAAGGACAGCAAACTCACAGTTAGTAACAACCACACCTAAAACAAAAGCAAACTAAGAGGACAGCTAGATCAGGAGCAGAACCATAGAAATGAAGATCTCAAGGAGGGTTAGCAACAGGGGAGTGGGAGAAGGAGAAGGAGGCAGAAGGTACAGAAAAAATAGCATAGACAGTAGATAGAAAATAGATAGGGGGGAGGGCAAGAATAGTAAGGGAAATACAGAATCTAAAGAATTTGAGACACGTGTTCATGAACTAAAGGGGGAAATGGTGGGGGAGGGGCATGCAGGGTGGAGGGGAATGGAGGGGGGAATAGAGCAAATGTAATGGCATAATCAATTAAAAAAAAGTTAAAAAAATAAAAATAATAAAGTCTGGACCTAAAACAAACGGGATAGAGGAAGTAGAAATGCCTTATGATGCCAAGAAAGAAAAGGGGGGGGCGAGGAGGAAGGAAGAGAAAAGCCTGATGAATGACTGGGGGAGTCTCAATTTTCCCAAAGCTCTTGCCTCATTAAGGAATTCACCCTATTTATCCGCCTACTTCAGGAGGAGGAAGAAGTCTAAAATAAGAAAAGATGGTGAAAGTTGGGTGACCCCAGCGGATACGGCCAATCCTCTTTGCCTGACACGCCCTGTATCGTCCAACAGTGTCTTGCAGCGGCACGGCACGGCGGCTACCAAAGGCTCCGTTGCCCTGAGGCTATCAAAGAAACCCTGCACTAGGCAGATGGCGCGAGGGGAGTGGGGTTGGAGAAATGCCTTCAAAAGTGTTCTTTTAAATTTACCCCCGAGATTTGATCCAAATTGAGCAAAAATGAAAAATACGCATCTGCTCTTCTCAAAAGGCATGCATGGTGCGTTGCTAAACACAGGGCTCTGCGTGTCTACCGAGGGGTCTGTCCCCAGGTTGATTTTCCTGCCCCGACTTAGCCAGGCAGACCTAGGAGAGAGCGCCCCCTGTGGAAGCAACACCCTGCTAGTGCCCTGGCCGCTCCTGGGCCATTGCTAGTCGAGGGCTATTAACAGCGTTTACTCCTAGGTCTCTTACTTCTAGACAAATGGAACCATTGCCTCCGTTTATTCTGATCCCTGCCACGCGTGAGGTAGTTTGGAAAAATTACCTTATTTGATAATCACCTTTCCAAACTTTTCAGCCACACGAATGCAGTGACCAGAGAACTGTTTTATACAAATGGTTATAAAATATGTAAGTCCTATAAACCATATCATGTAACCACTTTGTTTTATGCTTTTAGAAAAAAAATCCATAAGCTGAAAATGCAAGAGTAAATTATGAACTGAACAATTTTATGTTGTTCTTGCAATGTGATGAAGTTGATATATTATGGCCAAAGGGATATTGCACATCAACTCACATGCTGCTTAGAGGTTTTTCCCACTAATAATTTGAATCATAAAATGCATCAAGTCACAGACAATACAACTTTTACACTCCCGTCTTCTTAAGGTAACTGAAGTAGACCTAAAGTATCCATTCCTAACTACAACAAATGTATTATTCATTTATGGGGCAAATTCAAATGTAAGATAATGCTTGTTTTAAGCATAATTCCAACTACTGCTACAAAGGGGAATGCACGTGATTGTAGCAGTTTTTAGCTCATAGTAAGATTGAGCCTTTTGGTGTAAGCTTTTTGTAGGGCAATACTGCCATCTGGTGGTTTATATGAAGTATTTCACATCAGTTGGAGAGGGACTCTCCCAACCCTTGAAAATGTTCCAGGTCTCCTCTTGCCCATGTTATTACTCCCCTGATCTGTAACAGGCTCTGACTTGTGCACTTAGGCAGTGAAGCCTAGAAAGTGCATGAGGTCCTTCGCACCCGTCACTGCTTTACACCCAGACAAGAGGGGAACCTGCTTTGCCCCCACCTCATCCCCTATGTAGAAGGTTCAGCTCTCTGACTTGCCCTGACTGTGGCCCCCACTACAGATCAAGTAGTCCTGGAGCCAAGGGATGCGCCTGTCCAAACCCACGCGTTTTTCTTCCTGCTCTTCCCGCTCTGTCTCACCTCCACCACTGCTTGCGCTTACTTGCGTCCTATTAATGCATTAATGCTCTTATTTTGCCCAAGGTTTTCATGAAGAATAGCTAGCTCCTGCTTCCCAGATATCATTTGCATTAAAATAGCTTTCCGAAGTACCATGACACACCCCTTCCCAGCAACAGTAAAAATGAAAGGGAATTTTACAATGCAAACATAGACCTCTGGGATAGCTTTCTCACCCCTCCAGCTCACACATTGCGTCAACAACCCAGAGCATTCTCCAAACCTTAGACCTCTGCTGCCACCTTCAGGACATTTTTTGTAACAGCATGTTCTACTGCTGTGGTTGATCTCATTTCAAGCGTTACGTAACGTTTCGGTTATACAAGATGAGTCGGAGGTTATCTAATGGACGACATCGTGCCCATAAGTTAACAACACTGTATTGTGCACCGAAGAATTTATTAAGAGGGTACATTCATGTTAAATCTTCTTACAAGAAATAAATAAAAGCTAGGGAAAATAGGAACAAGTGCAGAAGGAGAAAGGGAAGGAGGGAGATGATCAGAAAGAGGAACCTGTCCCGATCTTCTAACAGAGAGAGCCAGGCAGGAGCGCCTGGCATTTCATGTATGCAAATCTCGTGATACCTTTTAGTTGCTGCTTTATCAAATAATAGAATAATAAAAAGAGCTAAACCTGGATGTATTGTAGATATGTCATGAACACATATAAATGTGATATATATATATCACAATGTATATAACAAAGTCAAATGCAGTTATATAATACATACAGTCAGGACGGCTGGCACTTGCGTGGTGCCTACTGTTGGAAGGCAGGGTACTGTGCCCTCCACACATTCCCTTGTCTAAGGCCTCCGTGGTGGGCCCTGTTATTAGCCCTATCTGCTTACAGAACAGGAAACTGAGGTTCCGAGACATTAACTTGCCTAAAGTTCCCCGCCTAGTGCTTCACTGAGCTTGGATTTCAGGTCTGATTATCCACCTTCACAATAACAATACAGAACACAGAGGGGAGACATAAAAAGAAAACAAAATAAAGAAGA